GGATTTCCCACCCTCTTAACAGTCACAGTGGGGGCTAAGTTTCTAATACATAAAACTTGGAGGACACAATTAAGCTTTCAGGGAGTTTTGGGGGGACATAATTCAATCCACTACATCATGTGTCTTTAAAATTACAATTCCATACAAATTTAATGGTTATTAAGTCTATAGGTATGTTCTTGGCTGACAAGTAAACAGATTATATTATTCTTAAAGTGTCTAATGGGGTAAAGAGAAGTTCTTTGCTTTATGGTAAACTATAAACTGCAAGTGAATTTACAAGTGAGCATATTTATACAGGTCAAATCCCATTACAATAAACTTACTAGGAAATCTATATTATGATAGAATTTTATCTTACCAGAAAATGAATTCAAATGTAAAAGAAAAGGGAAAGAAAATAAATTACTGTCTCCATGAAAACAGCCCTGAAAAAGTGAATATGCAGATTAGAAAGGCTCTGTACTGAGCAAAATAAGAAGATGGCACCATTATTTAAGCATCATATCTGGATCACAGTACATTATCTAAATTTCATATGTTAATACTTATAAACTAAGTATTAACATATATATGGGGTTATAAAGCTATAAGAAAATCAGTCATGTTCCGCAGACATACAGCTAAATGGTGGAATTGAAATTAGAACACAGATCTGTGTAATTTCAAAGCCACAACACCTCCCACAAGAGGAAAGAAAACAAAACTTCACTTTCAAGGAATCTAACACATTGTTATGGGCTGAAATGTGTTCTGACAAAATTCATGTGTCCTAACCCCCAGTGCCTCAGAATATGAATGTATTTAGAGTCTTCAAAGATGTTTAAAGTAATTAAGGTTAAATGAGGTTATTAAGGTGGGCCCTAATTTGATGTGACTGGTGTTCTTATAAGAAAAGGAGATTAGCACAGAGACACATAGAGGGAAGACCATGTGAAGACACAGAGAGAAAATGGTTGTCTACAAGCCAAGAGGAAAGGCCTCCATAAGAAACCAACCTTGCCGACACCTTGATCCTGAACTTCTAGCCTCTAGAACTGTGAAAAAATAAATTTCTGGAGGCCAAACACTCTGTGGTACCTTGTTATGGTAAGCCCAAGCAAACAAATATATCCACCTACCCCTTTCACTATCATCTATTAAACTTCTGGTGTTTGTAAGAGGATTTTCATGGGTAAGAGGATATTCATGGGATAAGAGAGATTGTTGAGATATTTAATATTGGAATGATGGAAGAGCTTCTAACGGAAAAAATGTGTTACGCATTTTTCCCATATATAGTATTCAGTGCAAACAAAAAGACAATACAAGCCAAAACAAACAACAACAACAAAACTATAATACAAAGGGCAACAATGAACAAGCAGAATTTACTAATAGACTCAGAAACTGGATTAAAAATTATAACAATTTTCAAAGTCAAGCAAAGATACTTCATAGAGTCTGGGCCAAACCAACACAGAGATAATAATAAATCTCACTGATTACGTGCCCAGGAGCCACATGTATTAGCTTGGAAACATTTTGGACCAATGCAATGACTAAACATTTATCACAAGTAAACGTCACCATATTTATGGTATAAAATGAATAGAGTAGTGTAAGCACACAGCTGTGGAAAGCATTTGGGTTTTCTATTCAAATACATTTAGATAGCATGGCAAGATAACATAATGAACGCCTCTTGGGCATTCCAGAAATTACATAACTGTGTATGATTTCCTAACAGATGACTTCCCCCATAGAGAAAGTGCATCAGTCTGGGGTGAATAAGGAGAAAGAAACCACACAGTGAGTATTAAGCCGTGAAAAAAGAGCAACCAAAGAGAACTCTCTAAGGTACCCTATGACTGTGCGAGTGTACTCAAAGAAGGACAAATGTGAATAGTCGGCCTGCTCCCTACATAAACCTTATTGGAAAAGGCATAATTGTAGCCCACTGGATGGCAGAGAAGTCCACTTGGTTATCCAGCCCAGAGATGTCACATGGTCACTGGGCAAGCATGAAGCAACCATCGAGGGAGCAGGTAAGACACAATCAGTGGGCAAGCACATGGGCACATGGGGGGAGTTGGGGATACCACAGCAGGCAGGAAGCCTGGAGAGACAGATGTTCACAGCAGGAAGGAAGCAGGAGACAAATCTCTGAGAAGATGAATGTGAAGAGAAATCAGGGTGCCAGTGCAGAAAGGAGGCCCTCTATCTTGGGAGAGCCATGAGAAGGTGATCACTAGGCTGGGCCAAGGGCTCTGAAGCTGCTGACATTTCCAGATTCACGGCTATGGCAGAGAACCACATAATTGAATCCATTGTCACAGAGGAGGTAATGAAGGGTGAATTTTGAACTGGGGTCAATAAAGTGGTAATTGGCACAGAGTGATTTATAATTTTCCAGCATTTAAAGAGTTTTCATGTTATTCTAATATTTGTTGTTTCAAGCTGAGTTCTTTTAAAAGTTAGATGAAATCTTGAAAAATCACATATAACATCACAAGAAAAGTATAGACCAATATCACTATGAATAAAGATGCAAAACACCTTGATAAACTGCTACCAAACCTAATCCACTGACATATAAAAAGGATTACACTATGACCATGTTCAGTTTATTGCTAGAATGAAAAGTTGGCTCAACATACATAAATCAATCAATGTAATATATGATATTAAAAATAAAGGACAAAAACTACATGATGTCAATATTTCCCACATTGACCTACAGATTCAACAAAATCCCTAAAAATCTGCACCTGACATTTTGGCAGAAATTGATAACGTAATCCAAAATGCAAATTGAAATGCTAGGGACCGGAATATCCAATACAATTTTGAAAAAGTCGAAGAACTCATTTTCGCAATTTTAAAACTTCCTACACAGCTACAGTAATCACTAGAGTATGGACAGACATTTAGACCAATAAGATAGAATTGAGGGCTCTGTACCAGTTATCAATTTACTGCCTCTCAATTCCAAATTCACCCTTCATTACCTGCTGCAATATTGGACAGAACTCCTTTAAGCATTTCTCCTTTACATATATGGTCAACTGCTTTTTGACAAGGCTGCTATGACAATTCAGTGGGGAAGTTTGGTCATTTCAACAAGCTTTTGGGACAACTAGATATCCATATGAAAAGAATGAAGTTGGATACCTTCCTCATCCCATACACAAAAATGGATCAAAGACCTAAATCTAACAGCTAAAGTTATAAACTCTTAGAAAAAACAGAAGCATAAATCTTCATGACCATGAATTAGGCAACAGTTTCTTAGATACAACACCAAAAGCACAAGCAACAAAAGAAAAAATAGATAAATTGGACTTAGTCAAAATTTAAGTCTGTGTTTCAAAGGACACTATCAAGAAAATGAAAAGACAACCTGAAGAATGGTAGGAAATATTTGTAAATCATGCATCTGATAAGGGATTTTTATCTAGAATATGTAAAGAACCCCTACAATTAAATTTTTTTTTCTGTGTTTCAAAGGACACTATCAAGAAAATGAAAAGACAACCTGAAGAATGGTAGGAAATACTTGTAAATCATGCATCTGATAAGGGATTTTTATCTAGAATATGTAAAGAACCCCTACAATTAAATTTTTTTAAAAAAAGAAAACCCAATTTAAAAAACGGGCAAAGGATCTAAATAGATACTACTCCAGAGAAGATACATAAATGGCCAGTAAGGATATAAAAAGATGCTTAATATCATTAGTCATTAGGTAAATGCAAATCAAATAAGCCACAACGAAATGACATTTCATACTCAATAAGATGGCCATTAAAAAAAAAAAGAAAATAGAAAATACAAGTGTTGGTGAAGATATGGAGAAACTTAAGACCCTCATACCCTGCTGGTGGGAATGTAAAATGGTGCAAACACTTTGGGAAACGGTTTGACAGTTCCTCAGAAAAATTATATGTAGAATTACCATGTTAGTCAGCAATTCCACTTTTAGGTATACACATATATCCAAAAGAATTGGAAACAAGTATTCAGACACTTCAATGTGAAAGTTCATAGCAGCACATAGCAAAATGTAGTATATAAGTATAATGGGATATTACTCATTCATAAAAAGGACTGAAGTACTGAAGCATGCTATAATGTAGATGAACTTTAAAAACATTACACTAAACAAAAGCCAGACACAAAAAGTCACATATTGTATGATTACATTTAAATGAAACACTCTGAATAGGTAAAAGTCCATAGAAAGCAGATTGGTGGTTGACAGGAGCCAGGAGAGGGAGGAATATGGCATCATGCCTTAATGAGAAGAGGGTTTTCTTTCGGGGTGATGCAAATGTTTGGGAATTAAATAGAGGTGGTGGTCACAAAACATCGTGAATATATTAAAAAATATTCCTAGTCATATCGTTAATTATATGTAAAGTATGCCCCTTTCCTCTCCCCTTTGGAGATTCATAGTGCACATTAGCACATTTAAGACTCAGAAATTCTGTAGTAAAAACACTTATTTAACTTAGCATTTTTGAGAACTACAAATAGTCTCTCATCTAAGAGTTTTTCAAATTGTGGGTCACGGGGCCGAGCCCATGGTGCACTTGGGAGAGTGCAGCGCTGGGAGCGCAGCAACGCTCCTGCCACGGGCTGGGATCCTGTATAGGAATGGCCGGTGCGCTCACTGGCTGAGCGCGGTGTGGGCGACACCACACCAAGGGTTGCGATCCCCTTACCAGTCATGAAAAAGACAAAAAAAAAAAAAAAAAAAAAATTGTGGGTCACAATCCATTAACTGAAATCAATTTAGTGGCTCATAATAAGTATCTTTAAGAAAAGAAGTAGAACAGAAAATCTAGACTCTATCACTTATAGTAAAAATAAGCATTGTTTTTCATGACACTTTTGTTTCTGTTACACACACACAGCGAACTAGGAAATGCTGTCAAATGTATTTCTTACTGTGAGTCACCACCAGAAAACTCTGAAAAACACTTTGAATACAACAAAACAAATCTTACCTCACTTACCATATTATAGAATTCCAGCTCTCTTGGGCCCCTTGGAGGTGGCTGTAACTGTTTCAAAACTGTGCCATCTGGATGTTGTAATATACCTATGGAACGAAAAATAGAAATGTTTTAATGTTTTAATAACAGTGTACCTTGCTTCATGGAGAAATTTGTTCCTGAATGTGACAGGTAAACCACTTCCATAAACTTAAGAGTTTACTTTTATTTATTTCAGAAATTTTAACATTCAACCAGTATGTTTCAGTACTTGTTACAGGCAAAGCACAACACAAACTATAAATAGCTTAGTTTTACTGTCTCCAACCAGTACTCCCTTATCACTCCCTCTTTCTAATAAATAGAACATATGTATACATTCTTACAAAAATTCTCCAGTAATAGACTTTCCATGAGATGTTAATTTACAGTTAAACAAAAAGCAAGTTAAAACCAGTAGCACAAATAAACCCCACTTCTATAAACAGAAAAAAATACATGTTAACAGTGGCCACATACGAATTTTCTACTTGGTAATTTTTTATAAGTCTCTCGTAACAACTTAAAAATTTTCCTGATTCAGATGCACTATATATACAGTTTTACAGATAGTACAAGGGCATCTAGCAAATTGGAAAAGTGAAGACTAAAATCAGGTACCACGACTGGAGCAGGAAGAGGAAACTTTTTATAATCTGTCCACTCAAAGGGGGAGTCTTTTTCTAAAGTCACCATATATATGTATATCTATCCCTATACCATGAAGACTCATTTAAAATTTTAAATTTTCATGTATTGGGATTTCACAATCAAGCAAGTTAGAACAGATTATGGCTCAAATAAATATACCATATGTAGAATTGTGATAAAATATTCCACTTGAGTTTCTATTTCTTTCTAGCAAGTGTCAGGAATCTTTAACCAGGGCAAAAATACAGAATTTAATCAACAGAAGTAGAAAGTCTCAACTTAAAAGATCTAACAATCAAGTTTGTTTTAAGACCTACATAAAGAATAGAAGGAAGGTAAATATTAATCCACATGGATAAGATTGGTTGGTAAGCAGTCAAAAGATTCTGGGATTTCAAGGAGTAGTCTCATGTAACTAAACATACTGTAGAGGAACTATGTTCCTGAAAGTTGGGATAGACAACAAGAAAGGCCTTTACTCCCATAGTTATGATATTTTCTATGGGCCTAATGAAGAGTGGTAGATGTAAAGAAGCCCTGAAGAACAGAATTCCAGAGGAAAAAAAGTGGGGCACTCATATGTGAGCAGAGAATCCCAGCAGCTTCCCCACCTTGAGACAGGCACCTGCTCTAGATAAGGTGAGCTTCCCATTAGACAAATACATTTTATCACAGAAGCAGAAATCAACTAGGCTACAGACAACAGTGTGGGCAGCAGGACAGATAGAGACCATAACAGTTCCAACACAAAAACAGATTGCTAGGTCCAGCAAGTCTCCCACACCACTTACCCTGCAATGTAATCCCTCAAGTTTCTTGAGATATCAAAAGATGGTAATTTACCCAGGCATTCTCTGGGTGAGTAAATTCCAGGACCCAAAGTAAACGCATAATATCTGAAACTGCAGCCAAAGCCCACCACCCCTAGGTCAAAAACTGTCAAGATAAAAAAAGAGGCATCGTGGAAAGTTAAGCCATTAACGGATTAACTGAATCTAAGGCTGAAGCCTAGCACCAGTTCAACCAAACTCTAGGAGGAATATATTTATCAGCCCCTCTCTCTATACAGAGGAAAGGACATATACTCTACGGAGAACAAAAAGACAAAAATCTAGTACACTTCACTCCCCACTGTTCTTTAATTAAAATGCTCTGAATTCAGTAAAAAACTATGAGACATATCAAAAATTAGGAAAATGTGATGCATGACCAAAAGAAAACATAGTAAATAGAAACTGACACACAGATGACCAAGTGACTGTAATTAGCAAACAAGGATGTTAAAACAAAAATTATAAATATGTGAAAGAAATTACAGGTAAAAATGGATATAAACGCTGAAGAGATGAGGAATTTTGGAAGAGAAATAGAGATTCTAAAAAAGAATCAAAAGAAACTCTGGAACTGAAAAGATACAATAACTGAAAGAAAAAAATCCAATTAGTAGGATTAAGTCAACAAATAAGCAATCACATAAGAGCAATGAACATTAAGAAAGACAAATAGAAAATATTAAATTAAAGCAAAGAGAAGGGCTGGCCCGGTGGCGCACTGCTACAGTGCGCCGCTTGGGAAGTGCAGCGGCGCTCCCGCCGCGGGGTCAGACCCCACACG